ACTATTTTTGAGAGAAACCATATAAATGAAAGTAGAACATTTCTGGAAGAATACATAAGAAATTGGTAACCACAGTTGCTTCTGAAGCAGGAAACTGAGAGCAGAGATAGCAAGAAATGTTACTTTCACTGTATGCTTTCTGTACCACACACATACATTATCTATTACAGTCATTAAAAAAATAGATATGCATAAAGATGTTCATTGTTGTGTTGTATATATTAGACAAAGTTGACCACTGGGACAATCACATAGTAGTCACTCCAGTATTAGAAAAAGAATTTAAGAAATTTTAGTGAATCAGTAAGAATATCAGGCACACAAAATGTTTCTGAAGACTTGGACAAATGCTTCTGAAGGTGTCAAGAGAAAACAGCAGCTTCTATTATGAACACTTTAATTGAAACTATAAAAATTTATACATATGAATAGTATTTCATGAGCTAAAACTAGTTATCACAGGATAACTAGGATCATAGAATTATGGGCTATTTTTTAAAGTATTGCTATTGCAATGATATTGTAATTATTTTTGGTCTTAATTAAATTGTACTGAAGTCACTTTAAATAACTTCTAGTCTTTAGTCCTAGAAAAAGGATACAAATTACTTCCCAGGATATTTAAACAATTTTCAGGATACAGGTCAGAAGTTTTTGCTGATTCATGAGAACAGAAGAAATACTATCAGAAGATTGGAGATGGACAATCATCCAATACAAACTATAAATACAGAAGAAAGATGGGGCTTGAGAAGCTTAGCTGGCATTGATTATTGGCAAAATTCTCGCAGTTATGCAAGAAAGTGGTGAGCATTAGAAACCAACATGGATTCACTCAGAACAATGCAGAATAAACTATGCAAATTATTAACAGTGATATTTTTAAGTCTGTGGAATTGGGTTTAATAACCTGGTAGGCTAAAATCTCAGAAGTATTTGAGAATTTGAACAGCACAGGGAGTGCTGGCATGGGAGAAAGAGAAGCTGACTGACTCGGGTTTCAGAACCATGTGTCCTCAGTTTCCCCAAACCTGCTCTATGTGACTCTGAAGGAATTTGCTTGATCCTTCTTTTCAGAGAGGAACTAACAGTATCTTTCAAAAGAGCTGGGAGACAAAATGTAGAGCCATGATAGTCATCAGGAAGTTGAATACAGATGGGTCCCAACTTACAATGGTTCGATTTACAATTTCTTGACTTGACAATGGTGTGAAAGCCATAGGCATTCAGTAGAGACCTAACTTAAGGTACCCACACAGTTATTCTGTTTTTCACTTTCAGTAGAGTTCAATAAATTGCACGAGATATTCAACATTTTATTATAAAATATGCTTTGTGTTAAATGATTTTGCCCAAGTATAAGCTGATGTAAGCATTTGGAGCATGTTTAAGGTAGGTTTAGGCTAAGCTACGATGTCCGGGAGGCTGAGTATACTAACTGAATTTTTGACTTATGATATTTTCCATTTATGATCGGTTTATACAGATGTAACTCCATCATAAGTCAAGGAGCCTCTGTACTTGGTTCCTGTGAAGGACCCCTGACCCACTCAAATGTGTGTTCATTGACTTAAAATTCATGATATCACTTGCTGTTAAGACTGGCCTTGGGCTATTAATCTTTTTTTTTTTTTTGAGTTGGAGTCTCACTCTGTCACCCAGACTGGAGTGCAGTGGCATGCTCCCGGCCACCGCAGCCTCGACCTGCTGGGCTCCGGCAATCCTTCTGCCTCAGCCTTCCAAGTAGCTGGAACTATAGGCACATGCTACCATGCCTGGCTAATTTTTTTGATTTATTGTAGAGATGAGGTCTTGCCAAGTTGCCCACGTGGGTCTCAAACTCACGGGCTCAGGCAATTCACTCACCTCGGCCTTCCAAAGCACGGGATTACAGGCTGAGCCACTGAGCCTGGCCTATTATTCTTAATTAAAGGAAATGATATATGTGAAATGTTTTGAAAACTATACGAGGCTGCATAAAACAAAGATGGTTTTGTTGTTGTTATTGTTTTGGAAGCACTATAGATTCTGTGATGCAAATTATGGTATAGATAACAAATACCAAGGATCAAGGAAACAGATACAAACAAAAGGATACCAACAAGAGATCTAAAAACTCAAAACTACTAAGATGAAACCTAAGTCATGGGCCCCGCTATGTAAGCCTAAGACTGAGAAAACCCTGACTTAATACAATTCCACGAAGACAACATGGTGTATTTGGTGACCACAGTCTTGAGATAAAGCATGTCATGTTTACCAAAAGCCCTAAGGCATCAACTATAGGCCCCAACAGGAGAAGGACAGTACCATCCATCTCCTCTTTGGGTTAGAACACCCAGGACCTGCTGGGTTGCATTCTGGGTGCCATGCTAAAGAAATACATGTGTTAAGTGGAGAAATCGGGGATTTTTTTGCAACCCCCCCCCATCGTTTAGAAGGGAGAAAAGGCTCATCTGCCCTAAGATCCCTTTTAACAACGATGACCTGGGATTCTAACTGGCTGGGTGATTTCACTTGTGTAGGTAGGTGCTATGATAGCAGCAGCTGAATAAGAAAGAGGCCAGGAACTGTGTCTGGGGCTCTTTAGTCTCCTGCTCCCCACCTAGCACCCAGGGACAGAATACACGGTAAAGGAGACAGGCTGAGTAAAGGCTACGTACTGAGTGAATAAGACACTCTGTGAGGCTTATTCACAAAGGGATGATCATAGTATGAAGTGGGAAAGAGGATACAAAAGGCACCTTCTCAGAACCTGAACTTTTATCTGCTGTCAGAAACCGATACCTTCTACTTCTCCTTCTACTTGGGAACCAAGCTGACAAGGACCTGGTCCCTAGAACTCCTGCACCCATCATGGTATACATTCCACATTTGTACATCTGATACAGTATCCAAAAGACTCAGCTAGTGTGGGCGCGCGCGCGCGTGCGCGCACGCACACACACACACACACACACACACACACACACACACACACAGCCTGTCTTGGAATGTGCCAAAATGTGCTTGAAAAGCTCTTTAAAGCATTTGTTATGTGATTTAAACACAAAGAACACTGGGGAAGAAAGTCCTTTATTTAGATCTTTTTTTGTCCACAAAAATCAACATGTCCTTTCTAGTCTTTACTGTAGTATAAGAAAATGTGTCTCTTGTCCTTGTTCCCAGGACTCACCCTCTCTGTCTTGCTCAGTAACTGCAACATGTCACCAAGCACCCCCCAAAACATGCCACACATGATAGTGCTGTCTGTACCCCTCTAGATGCTAATTTAGAAAAACTGCCCAGCTCTCCAATAAGCCTGTTTTCAAGAACTATTTTGGTTCTCTCCTCCTACCATGCATAGCTGAGTGTGAATAACTGTTTCTCAGGTCCCCGCCGCTAGGGCACTGGCACCCCATCCCACCCCTCACTTTCAAGTTTGCCTCTCCCTTGACCCCAGAACAGAGCCCTCTTCACTCATACTCACTCTGATCTACTATTCTTCCTCTGCTCTAGAAAGGGGCTTAAAATACTTGGAAATGTTGCCAAATCCTTAGTCTGCCAGACATACATGGCGATTTAAATAGCCATTGTTCTGAACTTTTCTGTGCTGCTAAGCCAAAAAGAAAAATTACCCTCCATGCATGGAAAGCAGTCATAGGAATATCTCTGGAAAGGGGAGGCTGTTTGGGGAGTTGCTGGGGGCAGGCAGCGGGGGAGGTTGGGATCAAGGTGGACCAAGCTTGAAGGACCTGCCCCGTTACCTTGCAGGGCAGTAGGGACAGCTCAGCCAGACAGTTCCCACAGGACAAAGCATTTCTGGCCAGGTTGGTACAAGATGAAAATAATGGCTGTGATGATGTAAGAGTTTCGTCTTACACATCCGTGAGCTACAACTGTTTACCAGCACACATTTGGGGGAGGGGGAGGAATACATACACAGTGGCTATAATAAAATGCCAGATCTCATTCTCACATTCAGACAAAGCATTTCAAATTCAGCCCAGATCTGTACAGAAGTGTGTGTGGGGGGGAGCAGTCTACATTCACTCTGAAATGTGAATTCGTTATTTAAAACACAGAAGGGGCAAAAAACAAAAACTGCTCAGCAAGCTGGTATACAATATCTCCTGTATGTTAAGAAAATCATAACGTGATGGATGTCTAGGGCGTCGAGTGTCGCCCACGGCCCATTCTCCGTGTCTAGGCCTCCACACCTCACTCAGGAAGCCTGCTACACTCCACATAGTGCACTTCCTCCCCAAGGAAGCCACCTGGACTTGGAGGACCAGGTGAATGGATGCTCAGCTAAAGCTCACTAGGGTCTCCAGGCCTCAGCCCACAGCAGCCTTGAAAAATAGCAGGGTGGGTCCAAACTCCTTCCTACACTCCAGCGATGCTGACTGAAGACCCGAAGAAACACTGGAGGGAACACAGGGGTGGCAATATATAAAGGCAAATATCTCTGAGGAGGACTGAACACTGTGGAGGTGGGGTGGGGGCACTATCATGAAACTCCTTTGCTTCTCTTTCCCTCACTGGAATTCTTCAGTCGCCTTTAGCCTGTCCAAACCGCACGCGGGATGGCTGAGATCTGTGGCAGGCACAGGGACGGCCAACCAGGCAGCGCTGAGACCTGGTCCTGGCTCCAACCACAAACCTGGTGCGAGGCGAGTCCTCCACGGTGGCTGGTGACAGATCAGGCCTCTCCCCAAGGGTGGAGGAGGGGCGCTCTTCCCATGCGTGTACTGGGCCAGGAGTTTGGGTGCCAACTAGGAAAGGCTATGGAGCCCCTTTAGAGTCGGGATGGAGTGTCACCGTAGAGGCGGCCAAAAGTCCCGCTTCACACCCAAGTAAAGGCATCTCACTTAGCGAACCTGAGAAAAGCCAGTGCGGAATGCATGCACACACATACCCGCACCGTTCTGGGGATTTCGGGTCCCCCGCTGGCTCAGGTGGCCGAGTGGGGTAGAGGGCTCATGAGAATGACGCGGGGCCGGGACGGTCGCGGCCCTTACCTTGCTGACCACGTTCTGGACGAGGCCGGTGCGGATGCCGTAGTCCCACGCGTGGCAGTCACAATTGGAGGCGTTGTCCCCCTTGTCCGGAGGGGATGGCAGGGGTGGCGTGTCGCCTCCGTCCGTGCCGTTGCTGTTGCTCCGGTTGCCCGCAGCCTCCCAGGGGGCGGCGGCGAAGGGGGAGGTCGGAGAGCCGGTCCAGTTGCCCGCGTCGCCCCAGCGGCCGGCGACGGTGACCCCGGCCGGCTCAGCGCCCTTGCCGGCCCCGCGGCACCAGAAGTGGGGCTGGTCCAAGAGGAACGAGTCCGAGAACTGGCTGAAGCCGATGAACAGCGCCGGGATCCAGGTGAGCAGCACGAGGGTCTTCTGGTAGCCCCCGCCCAGGCCCCCGAGAAAGGGCAGCACCGACCCATCGTAGTCCAGCAGCAGGAGGCTCGGG